GGGGGGGGGGGGGGAGCAGGTTTTGACTCGATTGATTGCTTATTACATAGTAACAGTTTTTGCTTTAGGAAGTTTGCAACGAAAAATCTTCTTCGAGTAGAAGCCAATATCTCAGTATCTGAAGGTAGCAGGGCAATCGTGCAACTTTAAGTCGAATGATGTTAGGTCCTGCTTGTTAGTTGGGCCTGCGTTCTGATGACTTTGGAAAAAAGATGACATTTGATTGGTGTGCCAACAATTATTGGGGAGGAGATATTGTTGAGTTGTTTTACTATGGGTACATTGCTATCTTCCACTTCCAACTAATGTGGTTTGCCCTTATTAGTAGTAACCAAAGCCTCCTTATTCCACACGCCTGTCTTTACCTATCCAAAATCTAAAGCTAGTTACGAAAAGAGTTCTAAATGAGCTTCAGATATTTAGATTTGGATAGGCTTTTGTAGGAGCTGGCCTATCAAAAATGCAGGCTGCATCCTCAAGCTCAAACTAAGCTCAACATCAAACGACGAATTGGGTTCAAGCTCATTAAAAGTTTGATTACTAGCTTCATTTGCTCTAGATTTTACTTTCTTATACTTTGGAAGTGACTACTGTGTGTTGAGACATAATTAAACAAATGAAAGTGTGCTCTATCTAACTGCTCAAGGTAAGGCGAAAAACTCTTAAAGAAATATGCTTTAAGTTCTTCTCCTGCTCTGTTCCTGTTCTGGGCTATTTAAATAAATAAAAAATTTGATGTTCTGGGCTGTAATTAGCTGGCGTGATAGATCTCTTATTTGCTTACACTTTTAAAAATCACCTCGATCATTTGCATAGGAAATACGAGTATGACATCTACCTATTCAACAAACTTTATTTTATTTGAATAAGTAAAACGTTTATTAATGACCAAAAAAGAAACCCTCAGGGGTTGGCCTGGTGGCAATTGACTTGAGCCTTGGGGTTTACTCCCTTTCAAGGTCTCAAGTTCGAAACCCACTGGGTGCAAACAATTTCTGAGGGCCATCGGACTGGGTAAAACCTGAATTAACCGTGGTGCACTTGCGGGAAATTCCTTGCCGAGGGCCTGTGCACCCCCGGGATTAGTCGGGGCTCAAAGAGACTTGGACACCCGGTGCAAATCAAAAAAAAAAAAAAATGACCAAAAAAGAAAAAGGGAAAACACCCTGTATATAAGAGAGAGAGAGATGAGGCAAAAATATGATTACTGCTAAGAGCATCAGCGTCATATAATAATACATTGAGGATCTCAAATGTGCCACAGAAATTTAGAAAACGACAAAAGTCCCATATGATGTGAGAGAGACCTTTCAATTTCTCAGATGTCCTTCTATTCCTTCACAAACTTCCATATAACTTTTTCTAATTTCAGGAAAACAAATAGAGATGAACCCTGTTACTGCAGAGAAAGCTGCTGGCGTGGAGACAGATCTAACGGAAGTGCTGAATGCATGGTACTCTGCAGGCTTTTACACTGGAAAGTAAGTTTATGTGAAGTGTGATTCTTCAAAGAATGATCTGATGATTTGCTCCAGTATTGTTTTCTGTCAGAACTGGTGCTTAGTACTGAGCTCTTGCAAATGTGGTAACTTAACGAAAAAACTTGGAAACAAGTTGTGTCAGAATGACACCATGCAGAATATTTGCTTGAAAACCTACATTTTCTGGTTGAAGTTGGAAAAGGATCCATATCAGCCCCTTCAGTTTAGTCTAATAAATACTAGGTACATGAAGTGTGCCCTATGTTACCGCTGTAAAAAAGGGAAAAAAAAACAGGTGTTCGCTCGAAGGAACTTTTAAACACACCAATGTAAGAATTCCAGGTGGAGGTCAAAGGTAGACGACAGTTAATATTTTGAAGGCTTGCAATACTATATCTTTATTATACTGCTAGTTTGGTGTGAGTTTTGAAGTGTACACGTCACTACTCATAGCAGGATTGGGTTAGTAATCATTAGAAGACAGCAATAGCTTCAAGTTTCCCTTTTGTTAATCTTATAGCTTAACCCTGAAATTTTGGATGTGATGCAGGTATCTTTCCGAGCAATCATATTGGAAGAAGAGCCATGGTTAACTTTGTTCTGATCGGATTTGGAAATCAAATGTTGCTGCTCTATGAAATATTTCACTTTGTCACTGGCTCTAGTAACTGGGAGCGGTACCTAATGTGGTCCTGTCAAATTGACAAAAGAGGATATCAACAACTTAATGTATTGATGTTATCAAAACCTTTGCACACTGGATTTGGAAGTTGTGATGTAAGTTATAGATACAAATAGATGTTGTATAGCCCTTCTGGTTGGTTGATATTTCGAAATATTGACAAAACTGCTTCTTGATGATAATTTCCAGTGGTTATGAACTCCAGCCTTTTCTCTTTTGCTCATCGACTGTACACAAGTACATATATAGTTCTATGATCTTAAAACTGCATGATTTTCAAAAAATAATATAGTAAAGATACTTTACCAAGTAGACATACTTTGATCAATGACGACTATTTGACAGACACTTTTATAGCTGTCTGGAAGATAAAAGACATACTTTGATCACTGATCGTAGTACTACTCTCGCAAAGCAGTATTATAAAAGACGAAACTCTCTAAGGTCTATTGGGGTTTTAAGCGTAAAGCACGGGCTTTAATGAAGAAAGGCATAAATGAAGAAAATGATACAAAAATGTATTGTTTTCCAAGAAAACATTGTCTTGGAAAACATTTTCCATTATACCAAACACACCCTATAAATGTGGTCATATTCATTGTCTGAAAGCTTTGCTTTAGTTCCATGCCTCTCAGTTACAAACACTATGTCTTTCTCACTTCATAATTAGGCCCGACACTGAATTTCCACCACTTATCCCTGTCCATGGCCACTCTTTCCCCTTTGTCCTCTCCCTTTCCACACCCAAATACTAGTTCAAAGCTTCAGTCTCCAATGCTGCAGCCTTCTTTAGAGCAACTAGAAGCACAACAACATCAGCTGAAGCCACAACAAGCTGCTGTTGAACAGGTTGATGATAAGCCTCTTCGTGGTTCGTCTATCCAAAGCCCCGAATTAGGTGTTAGTTCAAATCATTCATCTGTCAATCATTCGACAACCGCATACCGCATTTCGTTCAATCAAGACTGCAGCTGTTTTGCTATCGGCACTGATCGTGGTTTTGGAGTATTTACCTGTGACCCTTTCTGTGAGTCCTTTTGTCGATACTTCGAAAATATAGGTGGCATTGGAATTAATGAAATGCTCTTTCGCAGCAATATATTAACCTTTGTTGGATGTGGAGACCATCCACAGTATCCTCGAAACAAGGTCATGATTTGGGATGATAACCAAAGCCGCTGCATCAGTGAGCTCTGTTTCCGGTCGGAAGTGCACAGGATCAGGCTTCGGCAGGACTACATTGTGGTAGTGCTTGAGCAGAAGATATTTGTCTACCACATTTCTAATCTGAAGTTGTTTCAAATTGAAACAATTGCGAACCCAAAGGGTTTCTGTGAGGTTTCACAAGCTGCTAGTCCACTTGTATTGGTATGCCCTGGTCTGCAAAAGGGTCAAGTTCGGGTTGAACATTATGCATCAAAAAGCACAACAGTTATTGTAGCACATGACTCAGTGCTTGCATGTTTTGCTCTTACGAGGGAAGGCCGGGGTACACTAATCCGGATTTTCAGCACGCTAGAAGGTACATTGTTGCAGGAGGTAAGGGATTATTCTCATCATTGTTTCAGTTTATTCTATATTACACATTCTTTTGTTACAAAACCTGAAGTAATAGCAGCATTTCTGTTATTATGTTTCCCTTTTTGGGCCAAAGTAGAATAATTAATGGAGGGGATAGTGACATTCTTACATGGGTTTGAATTTTTTTATTTTGCTGTTTTTCGGGAAGTAGTGTTCTCCGGTTGATGTTAGTATATGTACCTAACCTATTGTCAGTCTTCCTTTATCCTGTTCTTATGATCATTCAGAATGACGCCTGATTGGCAGGGGCCTTATGGTAAGCGGTGTCACGGCTTGGTCGGAAAATTTTACCAAGTATGTGTATATAGTATAAGCAAAACCAAGTTATTTTGCATATAACTAAATAAATGACACTACCCTGAAACAAAGACGCCCAGTGATCTGCTGGTTAGCGCTACAATTTCTGACTACATTTTATCAATTTGGAGATTTTCTTTAATAAAAAATAATTACATTTTATGAGACTTGAAGCATTAACCTCTAACAAACTATGTCGTTATAAAACTGCTTGAGCTAGAATTCATTTTCTTTGTCAAACTAACAATAAGGACCAGTTTGGACATGAGTTTTGCCAAAATAAATTTGGAATTTATTTGGTAAACACATGTTTGGGCATAGATTTTGTCCACATTTTGGCAAAATCCTAAATCCCAAAATCACCTCAATTGCTGATTTTGGGCCAAAACATGACACGGTCATTTTTTAAAATTTTTAAATATTACCCCAAACTTTTATAGTTTGTAAAAGAGCCCACATTTATTACGACCAACTAAACCATATCTGCTCACTTGCCTCTCATTAAACTTATTTATATTCAGGACTATGGTTTGTGATAATGATAATGAATGGTATTGATGAAGGTTCTGTATATACAAGATAGCAAGTTTGTTTGTTTGGTACTATTGGGTATTTGTGATAATTTTTAGAACTTGTGGGTATAAGTCATGTTTCATATTTTTTCAAATAAAAAGTGAAATATATTTTGAAAAATCATGTCCAAACACATTTTCATCTTCAAACCAAACTTCACCCAAATCAGATTTTTCAAAATAAATTTGGGAATCTATTGCCAAACGCTAGCTAAGTATAATGAAATTATGTAAACTAAGACATATTTAGTGCATTATTTTTAAGGGGAAAAAACAAAACTAGGCAATATTTAAAGAAAATTTGCAAAACGATAGCAACATTAGTTAATTACCTTTAAGGCACCTAAATATTAACATATCATAATACCTTTCAAATAAATGTTCCTAAAATTCAGTCGGACAAGAATCAACCCCATTGCTGTTATAAGAAAAATCAAATTATGGTGGATGTCTACTCTTCCTCCATGATTTTCTCAAATGCTTAATGACATATTCAATGACATATTTCTATGCTTAATGATATATTCAATGACATATTTTTCTTCACTTTTCATGCCTATATAAAAGCCTTGTAATAGATAGGAAAATACACACAATGAAGAAGAAAATCTCTTCCTTCTCTCTATCTCCATTTCTTGTTCATGTTTTACTAAATTGCTTTTATTTCATAACAACATGTCTTGTTCATGTTTTACTAAGTTACTTTTATTTTATAACACGTTATCAGCACGAATTGCTCATTTCATAATCTTCTATGTCAAGACTATGTAAGTTATAAGCAAGCAATGAGATCAAGTACAATGAAAAATGTCTTGGATGATAATACAAAGATAAGTTTTACATCCATCTAAACCCATTCATATTTTCATATCTTTGCATTAACTTTATGTGCAGTGTTTAGTAAAAATATTTTTTTCAATTGTATCCAGTGAAATAAAGAACTGGAAAGGTATGTCTTTATTTGCTACATCTCTTATAGGACAAAGATAATATTCTAATGTATATATATGTTCTGATCTTTTACATACTATGATAGATAATTATTAAGGTAATTTAGTAATAATATTTTTACCATCACATGATGTATTTCATTGAAAGCAAAATTATCAAATATGTAGGCGATTTTACAGTACCTTGCAAATTTGGCATTCGAATATACAATCAATATAAACTCAATATAGTTATAATTTATAATAGTCACAGTTATGCATTAAGCCTTAAATATTTTTGCTGGAAACATAAGGC